TCGCATACCGCCTCGCATAACTGAAAGATGAAAGAAATACAAAAAAAACTTATTATGCACCAATTCTGTGCATAATATGCGACGTTGGTATGTCGCAGAATAATTATTTCGACTAATAGTCGCAGTTCATTCGCCTAACAATAATAATTATTTAATGGGTGACGGACCACGATTGACCGAGTCGTACATCGAATCTCTGCATATTCGTCGCATACTTTAACTCATAATTTTCTCGCTCATGCTCATACCGGTCGTCTATCTATCGTATAGTTTTTCGCATATCTTTTCGTACTTTATGGGGTGAAAAACCTAATTTTTTATTGGGTGGTGTGAAAAACTTAGCAGGACTTCAAAATGGGGTGAAAATAGCTATTTCCTCTATATATATATATAGAAAGGATCATACGAGAATGAAACATAATGAAAGAAATAAGAATGATTCTAGATCATTGGATCCATTAATCCAATGGTCATAATGAAGTCAACTTTTATTAATGTCAGTCAAACAAGCTATGGCAATCTTGTAATTAAATGGTAATGTTGTCGTCAAATGTATACAATTGACCACTTATTAAGGGTATTTTGGTAAAATCTTAATCACATGGTGGACCCACCCCAATCACTACTACTCCTCACTTTCTCTCACACAATCACCCGACCCACACACTCACCCTCGCTGCACACACAATCACACACACACACACACATTGTGTCCACACACAGTCCACACGGCAGCGATATCTCAGATGAAGATGACGTCCTCGGCGACCGGCCTTCTTCTTTGTAGGCCTCGGCTGGCCGCACCGGTGTCGAGGCGGTGGATCTCATTGAAGTTCTTGTCGTTTAAGTGGCGGAGGTGTCCGCGCGAGATGGCGGTGGTATGAGTGGTGATGTGTTGCTGTCTGTGCAAGGAGCAGCGACGGCGCTAGGCGGGGGACTGCGTCAGCGACGGCAGCTATGGGAGAAGGGCGGTGGATCTGGTGCGATTCTGCTATATTCTCCACCTTCCCCGTCGGCAGCGCTCGCATCATCTCCCGCCTACCACATCCTCTTCAACGCCGACCACGACGCCGCCCGCCGCTGCCGACGGAGCTGTTCTCGGCAGTCCACACACTTCAATGGAGAGCTGCTTTGTCGCTCGTCGTTGAGACCCAAATCCGGTCCGTCGCCACCGGCCAGTCAGCCGCGTAGCTTGCTCCTCTAACGCCGTCCGTCTGAAATACTCTAGATATTACCGTCGGAAATCGTCTTGATAGCAGAGATGTTCACCTGGGTCGGTGCCGGTGCCGGCATCTCGTTTCTGAATTTCACGGTTTTGAGAGTTAGGAAGTTGATTTGTGGGGCTCACTCTTATAAATTAGATAAACTTTGGGGGTTGTTTTGAAAATCTTATAAATTTAACTGCAATTGCATAAAATTTAATGTAGTAGGTTATGTGCCTAATTTATAAATACTCAAACTATATTTAAGATGTTAAATTTTTTTATTTATATTTAAAATAATTCAGCTATATTAAAAATAAATTCGTCATCAAACTGAAATGATCGAAATTTTAAAAATAAAAAAAATATTCGTATCGAAATATAAAATTTTAAATCGATGATTTTATTTCGATCGATTCGGGAACTATGGTGGAATTCAATAGTCATTAATGTGCAATTTGTATAACACTATAGTGCAGACGAAGTTCATGAATTAATTACGGTATGGCCCATATTAAACTGAAATTTAAAGAAACAATCGGTTTATTTGATCGGTTAACCGAATCAACATAAATAATCAAAACAATTTAGAATTGATATGATGAAAATACATTTAATATTTCAATATTTTATTTAATATTTTATATTGCTTTTGGTTGTAAAAATCTAAAACAAATACATGACAAAAAAATATATTGTTATAATGTTTGATCAGTTCAGTTATTTTAAAAAATAAAGCTGACATCGAACCGAATTAATAAACAAAATTTTAAAAGTAAAAATAGATAATCGAACCAAATTATAAAATTTGGACCCAAACACTTAGTTTGGTCGTGTTCGTCCGATAAAGTGCAATATAGTGGTCATTATTGTGCAATTCGTCTAACACAATAGTACAATAGCGTATGTACTTTTTATGAATTGCTTTAACCAAAACTAAAGCAGCAAGAATTTGTCTATTTATTTTATTGGTTAACCGAATTAACATAAATAACCAAAATAATTTATTTTTTATAAGCCAATATGCAAAATCTTTTGAGAATTAGACTAAGTTTAGGGACCTAATTGTAGTTTTAAGATTTTAATTATATTCAATTAAACCCACATGCCAAATATGTAATTATTGAAAGTTAATAAAATTATTTTTTATGTTTTTGTTATACACATATTATAAATAATAAATAAATTATCAAATAAAAGTAACTTAATATAAAAATAATATAAAATATGTTATAATAATAAACAATTTATATAATAATAATAATAGCTAATAAACGGTATTTAAATTATTTAAGTTAATTAGTTTTACAATTATATCTATTAAAAATATTTGTCGAATACACATAATTTATATGTAGTCTTATAAAGTATTTCACTTTGTAAAAAATTACTGTTGCACTTTATAAAACAATACGTTGCACTTTATAAAACTACATGTTGCACTTTATAAAACAACCAAAATCGTTGTTGCACTTTATAAAACAATATGTTGCACTTTATAAAAACACCATGTTGTTATAAAACAACAAACTACACTTTATCAGTATGCTCCACAATTAACGTCAATGATTTCCGCCAAAATTCAACACAATATAAATTTAGAAAATGGATCAGCATAATGTTTTATCATATACCACGTCATCTGTTCAAAAAAAAAATGGTAACATACCAAACTTACAGTAGTTTAACTTTATACATAGTACGTTGCACTTTATAAACAACGGGTTGCACTTTATAAAACATCGCGTTCCACTTTACACGATAATTCACAATTAAACGTCGATAATTCCCGCCAAAATACCAAGCAATATAAATCTAAAAAAATATATCTACATAATATCCGTAGTTCAATTCGATAACAACTTCATTTTTTATTTTTATTTTTTTTAAATAAATGTTAAGTATCTCAATTAAATTAGCATATTGACAAAATTAATTATTTCGGTGTTGGTTTAGTTTGAATCAAGTTGTTAAAATATAATTGCACTTAGATTGAACATTAGTGTTAGACGGATTGCACGTTACTGATTGTCAAATTACACTATAACTATTAAACCGACATAGGTATACGCAAAAGTATTATTTTGTTGTATATAATTTTGTTTTACTTTTATATTAATTCAATACTTTACAAAAAATTTATTTACTTTTTTTAATTATTATTTTAGCATAGATGTATAAACAAAAATGCAACAACAACAACAACAACAACAACAACAACAACAACAACAACAACAACAATAATAATAATAATAATAATAATAATAATAATAATAATAATATGTTCTTATAAATTGTACATTTGACCCAAAGACTCAATTGTAATATAACTAACATCAACAAAATTACAATTAGGTCCCTCATACAAATCAAATTCTCACAAACCAGCCCCCTAACCTCAACCTCAACCCGATGTCCAGTGGCTCAGCAAGTCGATTCAGGCCATTGCCGTCGGCCGCCTCTCCGTCCGATCATATGGTGGTCGGAGGAGTACGTGCCTCTTTTCCCGACGAAGCTGGGTTAGTTTGGGCGGCGGAGGTCCGACGGCTTGGACGACTTTACGTGCCTCTTTTCCCAGTTGACGTGGCCTGTTTCTCTTGGATTCTTGGGTACAACCTCGAAAAGAGAATGAAGCCGAGGTGGGCGGCTGCTGAGGTTTTGAATGAGAAGGGGCTGAAGAATGTGGCTATCACAACCTTGCTACCTATGTCCGAGAAGGTTTTCTTGAAGACATATATCGAGAAGTACAAGAAGGATGTTCCCGAACTTCTAGACATTTATCGAGGTCATAAATCTTGAAGTCTGTTGTGAAGGAGAAAACTTTTTGACAATTTTCGCCACTTGGAACGTCGGACCTTGAAGATTGTGTCTCGGTTGCCGTGGCCGAGGACATGAAGTTCGTCGAGATCGGCGGTGGAGATTGGGGATGTAGCTCGAACCAGTGCGGCGACCGGAAAATTCACGGAGACAAGAGGCGGAGGTTGACGGGGCATCGGGTATCGGACGTGTGACGGCGAAAAAGTTGACGGCGTCGTGCGGCGGAGATTGGGGATGGAGCTGGAACTAGTGCGGCGGCCGGAGTAGTTAGGGAGAAAGAAGGCGGTGGTTGACGGGCGGCGGTCGTCGGACATGCGATGAAGAAGGCGACGACGGGAAGGTTGACGTCGACGGTTGGCGACCGACAAGGATATATGAAAGCTACTGTGCGTGAATTTGTATGTGTGTGTCGGTGTGTGTGTGTGTGTGTGTGTGTGTGTGTGTGTGTGTGTGTTGGTGTGTGTATAGTATGTGTGTTGGAACGTGTGTGTGTGTGCAGGTGAAAGAGAATGAGTGGGTGGGTGAGTTGGTGGTTGGGAATTGATTGGAGTGAGGTGGGACCCATGGCTACTTGGCAATAAAATTACCATAATGTCCTTGTTGTGTTAAAAATTTGTGAAGTTTTTTAGCTATTGGATTGAATTTTAGCTATTGGATCATTCAATCCAATGGTTGAAATTTATTCTCATTTCCTTCACTAAATACTATTTTTATGTGAACTCAACCCTATATATATATATATATATATATATATATATATATATATATATATATA